TCATACGTGTCGATCCGTTCATACGTGTTGATCTGTTCATACCTGTGTGTTTGTGCAGGTGGCGATCATCGCTGGGAACTTTGATCTGGCTGAAATCATCAAGATCCACAAAACCTCTGATGTTGGTGAGTTTAAACACGACTCCGTCTGTTTCCTGTCAGGATTTGTTGGTTCTGTTCAGCAGGATCAGCAGTTTAATCCACAGTTGGTGAAGCAGAAAACTTTGATGAACCTCATCAATAACGTTGCATAGATACTCCCTCAGCAGAATTAAAATAACAAACCTAAAATTAGCTCCGTTTTTAAAACTGCCTAGTCATGAATTTCTAACCCAGTATCTCAAACTTCTTGTACGTTCAGGTCTTGTTAATTAACTGCAGCCTATCAGTTTATTACATTTTATTGCTGTTTTACATCTAGATTTTGCTCTATTTGTTAATCAACAGACCACTTTAGTTTATATTCACCAAAATATATGACAGGAACAGAGGTATGAATCAGCGACGCACAGCAGAGATGGGACAAAAGGAAAAGCACCACAAAAAAAAAAAAAAAACTGCGAAAGGACACAAGTAGAGCTGGGAATGAAATGTGAAGATGTGAAAAGACTGCAGAGTTAATGGATGTGTAAACAAACAGCCACAGATAGCGGCGAGAGCAATGCTATTCTTAGGCTTCTATAGTGACAGTCAAATCTATACAGTAAGTAATGTTTACGCTGTTTGCCACTGTTCAAGTTTCCAATGAGGTGATTTAAGCTGCCAGCAGAGGGCGACAGCGTTCAAGTATTTTCAGGCTCTAACCAGAGCAAATACTTTGCTTTGTGGTGCTTTATTTTAACATTGATATATACTTTTCTTTTATTGTCCTTCTTTATGCCATCTGAGTTCAACTGTAGCCACATGTATGATAAAATACTAGTGTTAAAGATATGCTCTGTGTATGCACCCTGATGCTCAATGTTTCCGGTTCTTTTCCCTGAAAAGAGATCACTCGGGACAAACTCTTTAAATAACACTTCATAACTTATATGTGTTAAATAACCAGGAGACATGACAACAGATTTTAATAACAAATCTAATCTTGCTTAGAGTTTACAGAAGGCAGCTGCTCACCTCTGGGCTCACCTCTCAGGAAGCGGCACCCATTAACAGTCAAAAAGGCATTTTATACATCTCCATTCTGCCACATCATCATATTTTACATCAGACACGTTAGCAGATGATTAGACATCCNTCATACGTGTCGATCCGTTCATACGTGTTGATCTGTTCATACCTGTGTGTTTGTGCAGGTGGCGATCATCGCTGGGAACTTTGATCTGGCTGAAATCATCAAGATCCACAAAACCTCTGATGTTGGTGAGTTTAAACACGACTCCGTCTGTTTCCTGTCAGGATTTGTTGGTTTCGTTCAGCAGGATCAGCAGTTTAATCCACAGTTGGTGAAGCAGAAAACTTTGATGAACCTCATCAATAACGTTGCATAGATACTCCCTCAGCAGAATTAAAATAACAAACCTAAAATTAGCTCCGTTTTTAAAACTGCCTAGTCATGAATTTCTAACCCAGTATCTCAAACTTCTTGTACGTTCAGGTCTTGTTAATTAACTGCAGCCTATCAGTTTATTACATTTTATTGCTGTTTTACATCTAGATTTTGCTCTATTTGTTAATCAACAGACCACTTTAGTTTATATTCACCAAAATATATGACAGGAACAGAGGTATGAATCAGCGACGCACAGCAGAGATGGGACAAAAGGAAAAGCACCACAAAAAAAAAAAAAAAACTGCGAAAGGACACAAGTAGAGCTGGGAATGAAATGTGAAGATGTGAAAAGACTGCAGAGTTAATGGATGTGTAAACAAACAGCCACAGATAGCGGCGAGAGCAATGCTATTCTTAGGCTTCTATAGTGACAGTCAAATCTATACAGTAAGTAATGTTTACGCTGTTTGCCACTGTTCAAGTTTCCAATGAGGTGATTTAAGCTGCCAGCAGAGGGCGACAGCGTTCAAGTATTTTCAGGCTCTAACCAGAGCAAATACTTTGCTTTGTGGTGCTTTATTTTAACATTGATATATACTTTTCTTTTATTGTCCTTCTTTATGCCATCTGAGTTCAACTGTAGCCACATGTATGATAAAATACTAGTGTTAAAGATAGGCTCTGTGTATGCACCCTGATGCTCAATGTTTCCGGTTCTTTTCCCTGAAAAGAGATCACTCGGGACAAACTCTTTAAATAACACTTCATAACTTATATGTGTTAAATAACCAGGAGACATGACAACAGATTTTAATAACAAATCTAATCTTGCTTAGAGTTTACAGAAGGCAGCTGCTCACCTCTGGGCTCACCTCTCAGGAAGCAGCACCCATTAACAGTCAAAAAGGCATTTTATACATCTCCATTCTGCCACATCATCATATTTTACATCAGACACGTTAGCAGATGATTAGACATCCATGGCTCCAGCATTATCAAAATAGGACATTGCTCTCATTCCATTTCCAAAACTTTGGCAGGTACAAAATAAAGATCATAATTGTATATCCAGACAGACCAACTGTCCTAATTAGATTAAAACGTCAGTTCTGACGCGCGACAGGCAGCCCATAGCAGGGTGTGATAAACTCACATCTTCAATGATAATCATCCTAACACTATGAAATATTAATCTATCATAAATTATTGCTGAAGGCTGAATGTTGTTAAGGCTGTATGTGAACAGACTCTCACTAACCGGGCCGATCCGGTTCTGACGCCGCTGCTGAGTCGAACTCTCTGTCTGTTTATGTGTCCAAGTAGTTCCCTTCAGAGAAACCCCCTCCTACACCAAGCGCCGCCGGGTCGGCGCCACCAGAACACCGGCTGGAAACGGCCTCTCATCACCTCGCTCTCTGATTCGCTCAGCCAGTGACAACGCCCTGGAAAGCCCCGCCTCCTCCCCAGGCCCCTCCCTGCAGAGCCTGGAGACGCACCATGACACGCACACGCACTCACTGAGACGCCACACGCGCCGCCTCAGGTACGCTCAGGTTCACCTGCTCGAAGCTCCAGTCAAACCAGCGTCTCTTACTGGTCTGTCGCCCTGCAGCCCCAGTGGGGGGGGTCATGTGGAGACCAGCCCTCCTTCCTCCCCCCCTCCCACGCCACAGATGAGGAAGAGGAGGCTGTACAGCGCGGTGCCGGGACGCACCTTCATTGCCACCCGGTCCCATGTCCCCCAGGGGCCCGGAGAAATCCAGCTGCACCGGGGGGAGCGGGTGAAAGGTGAGAGGGGTGAGCCGGGGGGGTCGGAGGTGTTCGGGGCGGTTCTGACCCGGTTTGTGTTTCTAGTGCTTTCAATTGGAGAAGGAGGCTTCTGGGAAGGAACCGTTAAAGGCAGAACCGGCTGGTTTCCTGCGGACTGCGTTGAGAGACGAGAGAGGACCGCACGAAGAGGCTCTTCAGACATTACACAGTGGGATCCTACGACAACTACACCTCCTACAGGTGGGACACCGGAACTACACCCTTAGAACAGCATCTCATCATTTCTAAACCATCATGGGTTCCAGGGAGGGATGGAAGGTTCTGATTGGGTTCTAGCTGTAGATGGATACATATACATAAACTAATGAAAAAAAGAACCAGTTGAGAAAACCCCAAATCACTAAAACTTTCCCTTTTTGTTTTCTAAAAGCCAGAATAATAAGACCCATTTTAAATAAAGCCGCCATCATTTGTGTCTCTTAAAGGTTTCCTTATTAGCTGGAGATCTGAGCCAATTCTCTTTCAATTACTGTAAATAACGCGGCTTTGAGGTCTCCAGATGTTTTAAAAGAACCGTCTTTCTTCATAGGGCCATTGTTCTGTCACATCAGCATACTCACAGTAATATTTCCATTTCTCCCTTTAGTTTTGAATGAAAAATAGACTTTAAACTACGTCGAGCTGCGTACATCCGTTTAGTCATTTAAAAAAAAAGCAATTTAAGATCAGATCGCCATACGCTGCAAAAAACGGATTTCGACTATGGGTCAGATGACCGGGAATGCTCATCAGACAGAACTCTGCCCTGATAGGGATCAGTCCTTTCTGCCTCATGGTAGTGTGTCCTCAGGGTCCTTCCAGGTTTTAAATGAACTCTAATCGGGTTTTCTGTGTTGCTTTTAAAATCATGGATTCTTCTCTCCTGAGTGGCTTTCAGCTCAAAGGAAAACTTGCTTCATTCAGGTGTTCTGAAACCTGATTATCTCATCCTTCCTCTGACGTTTATACTTGTATTTAAAAAAAAAACGACTTTTAAAGATCTATAAATTCATTCCACAATCATAAGATACCAGGGTGTTTAAAATAAACATTAAGTAGCTATTGGCAGAGACTGACTACAGCAAGGAAGATACTGACTGCTCTTAATAATCCCCATAACCACAGCATGTCTTTATTAGAGAAAACCTCATGTTTAATTAACAGCATCTTGGACTAAAGCTGTGGGGAAATGTTTATTCACAGATCAAACTTTAACTGAGGCTATAAAAAGCTTTTTGGATGGTTTATTAATAACCTGACAGGACTGTTGGGTTACAGAGCAGTAATCGGCGGTAACAGAGGATCTCATGAAGGGACAGCCGGTCGTTTCTCCAGGCAGACTCTGAATCCTCTTTCTGTTTCAGCGACTACGTTATCGAGGAGAAAACGGCCGTTCTCCAGAAGAGAGAGAGCGAAGGATTCGGCTTCGTCCTCCGAGGAGCTAAAGGTAGGAACGGAGGAGTGGTGGGTGTTTGGAAGAGAAAAAAAAGAAAGATATTTTAAACTGGAGCCTGGAGAGGAAAACTCCTCGCTGTCTTGTTACATAACACCTACAGAAAGTCTTCTTTACAAGGAAGCACTGGTTCCCAGTGAAATGAGACTTTAGACTGGTGGGTAACAGCATCCTGCTCCAGTTAGCGGATCTCTGTTGGTTTTTGGGTGTGACCTCGACTCAAATTGAATCTGTTAACTGTGTGTAAAGGAACCACAACACCAGCCAATCAAAACCAAACACAATGAATGTGACAAATGCCTTTTTTCTGATTTACAGTCTCTACCAAAGGAAACCTTCACTATCTCCAGAATGTGTTATTTTAATGTACATTTTTGCCTATAAAACCCAGTAATTATTTTTTTAAATTTCTCCATTTTATTTATATTACTGTTCAAAACTTTTCATCTACTTCTGTAAAGCCTGTGACTAAATCAATGAAACATTAAAAAAAGTAAACTTTGACAGTTCAGCGGGACAGAAAACGGATAAAGTAGTGACCCTCTTTTAGCCTCACAAAAAACGAGGGACAGACAGGGCAGGTTATCAGTCTCCTCGAAAAAGGAAAAATAAATAAATAAATAAGAAAGACGAAGTATTGCCTACCTGGAAGCTATTCTGTTTGCGCATGCGCAGCACGGATCATGCTTCTGGGACAGATTGATTAGTGACAAAAAGGCAGGGTTAGCTGCAGTATTTTGAGTAACCGGTTGTTTCCATCCATCAGAAAGCAGCATCTGATTGTCTGGAGGTTAGTTTACATACAGCTGAGCTGGTTTGGAAAGCAGGCTTAACAAACTCAGACTTGATCTGGCCTAAGGTCGGAAGTTCTCGGTCTCATAAACGCTGCTGTGGGTAAATTTAATCTACTCTGAGTAGGTCTATTCAAAGATGAACACCTGTGTAACAAGTATGTAAAACCATTATCAGTGGAGCACCCATTCAATGAGTCACCATGACAACAGGAAGTGCCTATTTCACACAAATGGAACAAGAGATTTTAATGCTGAAACTAAAAGACAGCAACAGCTGCAAACCAAAGGAAGAATGCTGCTAGATTTAATGCGTAGGTTTATATGAAGTCCACTACGACAGGCTGTTTTGACATTTATCAAAAGTACTCCCCTCTCTGTTCCATTTGTAGATCAATAAAATAGGATTCTCTGTAGCCAAAATTACATTCCTAGTCAGAAATATTAATTTTTTCCAGCAGAAACTGAATTTTAAATACCTAGAAATATTTACAAATGTATTACTTTGACTGTATATATATAAGTTTATCTAAATAAAACAAATTAGGACCAGTATTTTGTTTAAAGAATTTATTTTGGTGAAAAAAAAAAAAAAAAAGAAATTGTTTTTCACACGGACTAATAAATGTCCAGACGGCCTCCCATAGTTGTTTGAATCAGGTAACATTGCAGGAAAACTAGTTAACTGGTGGAATGGTAATATATATTTAGGTGAAATCTCAGGGGAGAGAAGCACAGCTGTCAGCAGGTGAAGATGAGGTTTTAAATGTTTCAAAAATATATATATTTAAATGCCACAATAATCACATTTAATGACTTTTAATGATTTAAATGAAGCAAAGGCGGACCTTCCACACCGCTTTTGAGAAAAAGGCACATAAGTACTTTTTAAACCAACCCGGTCACTAACTGAAGGACAGCTGTCAGTCCTCTGTGTTATTCATATGTTCTATACGTGTACTGCATGCCTGTCCACCAGGGGGAACTGTTGGGTCTGTAACAATTGTAAGGCGCGATTACTCTCTGTGGTTCGGGATTCTGTGAGTGTGTTTCCGAAGTGAAGGAATAAAGTGATGCTTTTGCACCTGAACAAAAAGTGGAGTTATTTGACTACCAGTCAGGTGGCGCTAAAATGCATGTGAATATTGTCCAAAACAGCCTTCCATACATCTTACCAACCTGTGAACTCTGCTTCCAGCTGAGACGCCTATCGAAGAATTCGCTCCGACACCGGCTTTTCCCGCACTGCAGTATCTGGAATCAGTGGATCAGGGGGGCGTGGCTTGGAGGGCGGGGCTAAGGACCGGAGACTTCCTCATAGAGGTGACAGTGGTCATCTGCAGGATTAAATATAAGTATTCAGAGGTCACTGAATGTAATCCTTCAGTATTTGTACCATAAACCTGTTTTTCCTCTGCAGGTGAACGGGACCGACGTGGTGAAGGTGGGTCACCGGCAGGTCGTCTCTCTGATCCGACAGGGAGGAAGTCGGCTGCTGATGAAAGTCGTCTCAGTTTCCAGAAAATCAGAAACCAACCTGATCAGGAAGAAAGGTAGAGCTGTTAACATGTCGCTCATCATTAAAACCATTTCAGGACGTGACTTTACCCCCAAAATGGTTTGTGCGCTCTAGCCCTCACTTCTTTGACCCTGTTCAAAAACACAAAAAATCAGATTAACCCCATAATTAGTGACAAAACACCAGGAGAAATATCCTGATGTAGACGATAAGACATGGATTCACTTGACAAAAGATCTCAGCGCAGTTAGAGCATCATAAAGTGGATTCCTTCCCAGTTTGTTGTTAAAGAACCTAAACCAGAAGCTTGGCTCTAACGGACAGTTCAGACCAGAAGAGGTTGAGTTAGCATCAGCAGAACGCCATGAACTACTCCGGTTCATCTGGGAAGGAGCAGAAAGACTTTGGAAACAATTAGACTAAAAAACATTTTTAAAAGAGCATAACTTTTGCAGCTGCAACCTTGACTGTTATGGTTACAGAGAAGAGCTGTGATTGGCCTGCTCTGGTTTAGACCAGAGCCTTAACAGACCAGCTCACACCGGCCAGGCTAGTAACATAGATCTGTAGTGGAAAAATCCTACTGGACGTTGGTTAAAGCCGACAGGTTAACTGATGGAACCTGTAGCCATAACTAAAACTCCCGGGGCAGCCATTTGGAAGAGAAATAGCTATTGTTCTATTAGTATTATGTTGGTCTGATCTGGATTTCCTTAATAAAAAGGTTAATTTGACCTTTGTCTCCTCTATTAATTGTAATTTCGTCGCGATTGCTTCTTTAAATCGCTTTAAAGAATACAGTGTGAATCTAAAAGTTTTCTCCCCCTTCACAGCGTCATCAGTGTCAGTTACAAAGGAAAGGAATACTTCTATTCAAGGTTTGGATAATAAGATTGTAATATAGAAAAAGGCTAAAGATTGAGATCAATAAACTAAACTGTTATATCTATACAGTAACGCTTCACTCAGCACAGAGTCCCTGAACTGGAATGGGTATGTGCTCATTATGCAGGGGCGGGTTTACCATTAGGCAAAACTAGGGACTTGCCTAGGGCCCCGAGTTCCTGGGGGGCCCATGAAACTCCTTTTACAATAAAAAAAGAAGAAATAATGTTAACAAAGGTAAAAATTAAGGAATGATCTAAAGAGGTTTTTTGGTGGTTTTAAAAAAAGGTGTTTTAATTTAGCCCTAGATGACTGTTCATTATCCTCCGTCTGTCGCTGCCCACTCCTCAGAATCGGTGCTCTCTGCGTGGGTAGATTTTCAAGGAGGTCCCGCTGAATCTGACCGTCATCCAGATGCTGCTAAGGATGAACCAAAGTGGACTCTTTTTTTTTTTTTTTTAGAGCTTTCAGTTGTTTTTGCAAAAAATTGGTGGACTCTCCAAGCTGATTCAAAAGTTGTGCACAGAGAACAATTTAGCAGCAGTCCGTGATGTTAAGCTTTACCTGCGCTTTTATTGTGAAATGCCGTGGGGTTGCCAGGGGTAACGGCAGGTCCAAACTGTGAAACAATCATTATGTTTAATGTTCTTTTCAGTGCCAGCACAAGAATAACAAGTGACGTTATGCAATAACTGTATATCAGAAAAAAAGCGCAGCATCATTGTCTGCTGGGACGGTGACGTCAACGGTCAAAATTAAAATAATTGTATCTTAAGAACCAAATCAGCACAACAACAGTTTTAACTGCACAGATCATTAAAAACTAGATATTTTGATTCAATTCGGAGCTTAATGGGGGGATGGTTAACCTCTGGATAGCCCAAAAAATCATCTTAAAAATCTCTGAAACAAAAGTAGCAAAGAGGATCTGTTTTATTTTTTACATATGATCATTTTAAATGCACAAACCTGCACTAAAGAAGGACCACAGGCCGGATTCGAACCCGGGTTGGCCGCGTCGAGGACTGAGGCCTCCGTACATGGGTCATTCACCCTAACCACCTGCATGCCCCATCTTAAGACTATAAATAATATCAGCATACATTAAGTTTCCCTATTCATAATGGGCTAAGCTGCCTGGAATCATTGTAGTTGATGACATCATCAGCAATGGCTGGAGTTCTGGATCACACCGGTTTGATGGATGGTGGTAGATTAATGTCCAAACATCTTTTAGGAGCGGTTCCCACAGTGAGACCAGATCGCTGTGACTTCATGCAGCAGATCTGCTTCCTTAAAGTTCAGATTCAAACTGGGTTTAAATGTTCTGGTGAAGCTTCTAGAAGCACAGGAGGAGATGTTTAGATTTTATCAACCAGTGAAAGTCCAGCTGATCACCATGAACCCTTCTGACGTCTGCTTCATGTCCTACCTCGTAGCTCCGCCTCCTCCAAAGCGGGCCCCCAGCACCTCGCTGACGCTACGATCCAAGTCCATGACCGCCGACCTGGAGGAGATAGGTAAAACAAACAGCGGGTGAATCCCAAACACACAGCAGATTCAGGTTTGGTTTTTTATTGCTGACGTTTGCTCTGTCTGCAGCCAGGAGGAGACGTTACGGTGAGTCAAACTGGCCTCCCTGTGGTTCTGAGTCAGTTGTGATGTTTCTGTGATGTCATAAGGCTCATTTCCACCTCAGTGTTAACTCTTAATGTGTCATTAATGTTCAGGATGCACAGCATTGGCCCATCAGCAGGATGTGAAAGATGATCCTCCACCTGCTTTTAACTGTTAAACAAAACAACAACAAACCTCATGATGAACTCTGACCCCTCATGTTTGGAGGAGGAGCGATGCTGTGCATCTGGATGGTGTCCATGAAGCTTCAGGGCCAAAGCTGAATATCGTTTATTTATCATATAATAAAGGGCTGTTTCTCTTTACTTCTACTCCATCTATCTCTACGTCTGACATCAGGTCTGAGAAACAGGTGAAACACGTGGCAGTTAGAAGATCAAACCAATAACAGGAATGAGCCGATTTCAATGCAGTTTGTGAAAATTATAGTCATGTTATATTGTTTAAAGTCAAGTAAGTTGGATAAGAGCTGCTGCAGCGGTTTCTTCATATTCATAAAAAATTTAAATACAAAACTCTAGTTTCTCAGAGAGTCATTCTTCCTTTTTCCAAGTTTCCATGAATCTAATGCTACGTTCACACAGCATGCAGCAGGAGCAGCAAAAACGCGCATGCTGCTTCATTTTTTATGCTTATAACTGTTTAGTTCTGAGGCGCAGCACAGACTGCTCTAGCTGCACAGTCAAAAGTTGGGTCTGATGCGCGTTGGGCGGAGCTACCCTATCCTCTCTTTGCGCGTAACAATGGCAGCTATATCTGCTGTGATCAGCGGGTAAAACGTAGTTGTAATGTTTTTAAGTGAGAAAGTCCACCTGAAAACTTCCTCTATGTAGTCAGTTAATCAATCCTGCCTTCAAATAATGCGCTGTCGGAGCCGCTCAGACTCCCGTACGCCGGCGGAGCGCTGTCACTAGGAATCCCTTTGAACAGCAAACTCAGGCCCGTTCGCCTCTTCGCGGTCTGCCGCTAATGAAAGTAGATGCTAGCATTTTTCACATACGTAATCCTAACTGCAGGCACCAGAATAATAAAATTGAACATATTTTACCAGCAGGTTTCGAAATAAAAGTTAATTTAGGCGTTAATAAACTGTTTCGGAGGAGTGATGATAGCGCTCTGCATCAGCAGCGATGTGTCCGTCTCCCTGCCAGCTCCCAGATCAGCTTCTCTGATTGGTTGGTGTGGCGCGTCCAGTGGCAAAAGTAACATTTTTCCAACTCCAGCGCGTTGCGTGCTTCAGATGCTGAGAAGCTCATGATGAGCTTTTTCTGCTGCTCAAAATGCGCTGCAGGACCTTTTGCTGCACATTGATGCGCGTCAACCATTGACTTTGTATGTAAACTAGCTGCTTCTGCTGCCTTTGCTTCTTTAGGTGTGAACGTAGCATAAAGTGTTTATGAAAGTACTTATTTAAGTAAATTAAGATTTTTGTTTGACTTTAAACGAATAAATAATAAGAATAAAAAACTCTTGAATATTTGCTTGTTTTAAAGTGTTGGCATCTTGCCTGTTGCAAAAGGGCCAAATGTGTACCATTCTTTACAGAGGTCAGGGGCCACACATTGGACGGCTGTAACAAAAGCTAAGCAGGAAACCAGCTTCAGAGGAACTTTCAGCTAAAGGGAGAACATGATGCTGCTTTCTTTAACCCTCCAGTAACTGTGGAGCAAACAGGATGGCAGCGAGTGTGATAAGCTCCCAGTAACGCTGCCTGCTCCGTGTATCAGCTCAGTGTCCCTTAAAGCGTTCGGAACGGAGATTCATTTAATCCAATCAGGAATAAAGTGGGGAATACTCCGGTGGCACTTTAATTATTTAATCATATATCACAAAAGATGTTATCTCAACATTTACCACATCATACATAACACACTAGGTATCTATATGTTATTTATTTTTCTTCCTACTTCTGACTTCTACTCATTACATTTTCAAACAAGTATCTTTACTTTCTATTCCTAACATTTTTAAAACAAACATCGCATCGGGAGATGGAGATGGAGACCAACAAGACCTCCCTCATCCTTGGCCCTATCTCAAAGAATTTTTCAAAATAGTTGAGAAATTGAGCTTTCAATCATATAGTGGCACAAAGGTTACTTTATACTATTACATTTTTGAGTAGTTTTTGGAGCACATACTTTTTCACTTTTACTTGAGTATAGAGGTCAAGTTGATACTTTAGCTTTTACCAGAGTGTTTTTAAACTGCAGTATCTATACTTCTACTTAAGTAACAAATATGTGTATTTTTGACACCACTGCTAATACGGGAATCAGAGGTAGTTGGTCCTTCCAGAAACAGCAGATCCTGCCAAAGACTCTGTCCAACCAACCTTTGCACTGCTGCATGTGTTGACGACAGCTTTGAATTAATAATGCAGGAACACTTCTAGCTTCTCTACATCCAGAATTTTCAACCGGAGGCCAACAACTCTATTTAACCTTCCTGTTATCCACTGACATTACTGTTCTCACTCAGTAAAACTCTAATTAGTTTACAGGCTAATAATGTGTCCACAGTTTCACAAAAATATACAGAAACAAAAAAGAACAGCAACTCTAAAAGAGTTAAAAACCACCAGAGGTCAGAAGATAAGGTACAACAATCTACAGTTGAACTGGAGAGAAGAAAAAAAAACTCATCGTGTTTTGTTGCTAATTAGCAGTAAAATGAAGTAAAATCCTCCACCCAGAATATCAGCTAGAGTCTGAGCCACAGCCTGCCTGTAGTTATTGATCTCAGAGCATTTGCAGCAAGATATGTCATATTATTTACTTCAACCTTTGTCTTTAGACGTGTTGGTTGTTTGTAAAATCCGGCGGCGGCCCTGATGTCTCATTTTCGTTTGGTGTTCCTTCAACGTTTGGATGTCGTGGTCCTGCTCTTGTCTTCTATCCTCCAGTTTGTTCATCTTGTTTTTCCATCCTCCTTCAGAGAAACTGGATGAGATGCTGGCCGGAGGTCAACAGGAAGTGGTCCTGAGGGCCCGTCCGTCTGACGACTTCAGAGCAGCGACGGTCAAACAGAGACCGACCAGCCGACGCATCACGCAGGCCGAGATCAATGTAAGGAAAGTTTAGATTTCTAGCAGAGAGAAAAGGACTGACTGAGCTTCAACTCTTCTCATGCGTTTCATATTTTACTTGATGACTTAAAACAGAAACGGAGACGTTTGGACGCAAATACTTTAATGGGACATATGTTGGTGAAGATTCCCAGTCATCCAGGTCACAGTCATTCCAAAAATAGTTCAAAGCAATCCACTGGACTGTGTTTCCAAGGTTGAAGACATTTCGCTTCCCATACAGGAAGCTTTTTCAATTCAATGAGAGGGGCTGAAGGAAGCCATCTATGTTCAGAAAGAAAAACCCACCTTAAATAGAGGGGGTGGACTCAGATTTCAGCTTTCAAAAACCTACAATGCAGCGATAGAGTTGATCCCTTCCTTGCAGCCCATCGCAGCTCCAGCACAGGAGAGCGGAGGACCTCGTCTATTCAGCCAGGCCAACAATCCCCTTTAACGACCCCCCTTTACAGATACTTAGACAGGTATGGGGCATTGCAGGCTAACAGAAGAAGCCAAACAACCTCCATTCCAAAGGTGTGGACCCATTCATCCGTTTCAATTTGCATGTTTTCAAAACAAGAACAGGGCTTTGTTGAGCTACTGTATAAAAGCTCAAACTTAACGCTATTCCTGACATTTTGAATTGAAAAAGTTTCTTGGATGGGAAGCAAAACGTCTTCAAACTTGGAAACGAAGTCCAGTGGATTGTTTTTAACTTTTTTGGAACTTTAATGGGACGTCCAAGGTTCTTCAGTTCCCAGTTAATGTGTTATTATTTCAACATTTAATAAATCAGAATCATTTCGCTGATCCTCACTGACCTCAAATAGAAGACAAAATTGGTTTCTTCCTTATTATTTCCAACTTAATTCTTAACATTATATTAAAGTGATGCTATAGAGTAAATAAACATTGTGGCTTAAGGTTGGCTGTTTACAATAAAACTTCCACTTTCCAACTGTAGGGGGAGGTAAAGAGCTCAGACTTGGCTGCCTGTGTGTTGCTGCTTTAAACCAATCAGATTGATGAACTGAGATGATTGACATCTTTCCTCTGTGTGTCTCCAGTCTCTGTTTGAGCGTCAGGGTCTGGTTCCCCCCTCTGCTCCAGAGAAGAGCACCATGCCTTTACCCAGAGGGATGTCCAGAACCAAGAGCTTCGGTGAGGCCAGTGGAATGCGAACCCCACAGCTCTTCCCCAGTTAGGGGAAAGTCTAGATATGATTTTGTGTTCATCACCTTGTCTCCATGGTTACCTGACAGGAACCCCAGAAGATGACAGGATCTCGGCTCTGATCCATGAGAGCCGTTTTCCTCGGAGCTCCTCTTTGACGGACAGCTCCATCCCGCCTCCTCCTCAGACAGCTCCACCCCCGCCTCCTTCGGCCTCCTCCACCTCCTCACTTTACCTCCTCGACTCCGGCCCGCCCCCGTCCTTCCTCCCTCCTCCGCCCCCGGCTAGAGGGGAGGGGCTAACACGCTCCAGCTTTAAACCAGGGGCGGAGCCACGGCTGCATGAGCTCTCTGATGCCAGGAGCCACGCCCACGCCGAGCGGCAGAGGAAAGCCAGGTCCATGATCATCCTGCAGGACACGCCCCCCCCACCGGCGCTTCAGACGGACGGCCATGCCACTTCCACACACGCGCTTCACACCGCCACGCAGACCTCCACGCTGTCCATCCACGGAGCCAGCCCCGCCCTCGGACACTCCCCTCTGTCACGTCGCCGGGGACGAGCGATAGAAAACCCTTACGCCAACGTTGGACATCAGGCTCCGCCCAGCAAACCCCAGAGGAGGAAGTCCCCTTTGTTGAAGCAACTTCCTGTTGAAGAGCAGGGTTAGCATCGTCCGTCATCGTCTGTCTGACCTTCATCATGTCTCGTTCATCGAATTAAAGCACAGTAACAAATATTTACATCCGCCGCCTAAACTTTAACCATCCTAATGGAGGCCGAACCTGCGAAACCAACAGAAAGTAGAATAAGAAGAAAAAATAAATAACTTTTATTAACAGTTCAGAGATACTTAACACCTAATACAAAAATACTATAAAGTTTTTTATATTGTGACAAAATGTGCAAAGAAGTTCAACAGAAAAAGCAGAGTGAGAAGTTTTCTAATTTGGCTTGAGGTGAGAAAACAAACAGCTAAATGTATTCTGCTAATGAAACTACTCTGTGGTCATTAAATTGTTCCAGCTGTGGACAATGATTTGGCTCGGTGGATTTTGTCTCATTAAAGCTCATCAGCAGTTAGAGTTCAGCATCACATGCTCCATCTTTATGTGTCTGATTCATTTCTGCATCATCAGGAAATCAGCTCATACTGTTTAACTTTAAAACTATAATTCCTGTGAAATCTAAGACGAACAGAAAGAGGAGCAGCTGATGAATGCAGGTGACTTCAGGGTTAATGTTTATCTCCTCCTGGATCCATGCAGCTGTTCATTTTGTCTCTTTAAAACTAGATTCAGTGCATTTCATTTGCTGTCTGGTGTTTTTTGAAGCTGCAGACTCCTCCTCTGTTCAGTATCAGTCCAGTTTCTTTCCTTTCAGGTCTTGGAATCAAAGACCACGATTCGTTCAAATCAGACGGAGGTGGACTAATGAGCCCCAGCAGAGCGGAGCTGTATCAGCAGCAGGTTCTGTCTGAGCGCGCCCGGGTTCAGGGTCGCCGCTCCTCCCTCTTCCTGTCCGTCGAGGGGTCGGGGTCAGAAAACCAGGCCCCGCCCCTCCTGACTCAGAGCCACTCCATGGACGACCTCGGAGAGCTGCCCCCTCCGGCTCCGGTCCTGTCGCCTTCACCGACGCCGCACACCTTCCTCCACCCGCTGACAGGAAAACCTCTAGGTGCTTCAGGCAACATTAACTCCATTACTCTTCCTGTTTCGCTTTTGTTTGGGTTTTATATAAAAATACATTTAATATTTCCAACAGATCCTAATTTTTTTCTGAAAAATGAAAGAATAAAAGCCTGAAAACTACAAACTACTAACAGGATAACGTGTAAAAAGTAAACAAAAATAAGGCGATAAATTTAAATATATATATTTTTAAGTCTGATCACTATTTAAATTCTCTTGCTAAATCAAAGTACCAGACGGATGCTGCTGCTGGCAGCGCTCACCTCACACAGAAAAAATGAGCAAATTCTTACTGAATGTAGGCTGTAAAAAAATCCAAATCTAGACAAGTCATTTTTTCTTAAAATAAGTGCATTGAGGAGGTAAAAGAGACATTTTGCCAATGGAACAAGACAATTTACACTTAAAAAAAGAAAACACAATTGCATTGTCTTATTCCAAGTGCATATTATCTAATGACCTTTTTTTAAGATTTACCTACTCAAAATAAGGATAAATACAATTAATTCAAGAAATGTGTACTTATTTCTAGATCGTTTTCCAGTGTAACAGTAAAGTTATTTCTGAGCGTAGATGCAGGCTAATCAACCCTCCGGTTGCAGCGTGTGGGAGAAGAACAGAGAAACAAACAGTTGAACAAACACCTGAGGCAAATGCTATGAAGTGCAGGTGGATCCACACCGAGGAAGACATGAAACCTCACAGATGTATGGAGAAAAAAGGTTGAAGCTTCAGCCACGACAGTTTTGCTAAAAATGGTCCAGAACTTATTTTTTGTTGCTTATTAAGGAAGGCCAGCACACTGAGCTTGGACGGTGGGAGAAACATGGCGGAAACTTCCCTTTGACAACGCCCTATCAGGGAGTGCCTTGGCTTTAAACACTGTCCGACTGTTGCTTCAGAGTTGAAGCAAGAACATGAGTTAATTAAAGAGGATGGATTTAGAAACAAACAGCCACTGGGAGACGTCCTCTTCCCACGGATGTTACGACGCCAACATGAGCGGCAATGGATGCCTGCGGGTAGGTTTTACTCCATCTTCCTGTTTCCTTCCTGTGTGATAATAGTGTGTACATGAACTATAGCAGTACTAGTCAACTCAAATGGATCTAACCTTCTTGTTTCAGGTATGTGACCTGAGAACGTCTCTTTCTGATCTCACTGGCGTTTTCCTCTGCCTACGTGGTCAAATCCAAAGCTACTGGAAGCACGCAGGCAAAACACTATACCTGAAGATAAAAGGACCTTAAATGATTACCTAGAACTGAGAGGAGTGAGGTACAGAAGACGATTAGGGCCACTGAAAAAATAAAAAAGGATTAACTGATTTTTAAATATTTCAGTTTAATATGGGGGGAAAAAAGTCCGAATTTTGAGATTAAAGTCCGAATTTTGAGAAGTCAGAATTCTGATTAAAGCAGAATTCTGAGATTACAGTCACAATTTTGGAAAAAAAAAATCAGAATTTTGCAAAACAAGTCAGAATTCTGACTTTTTTCTGATATTACACTGAAATAAAATTTAAAAATTGGTGGACTTTTTTTTATTTTTTCAGTAGCCCTAATCGTCTTCCATAGTGAGGTGTGGGAATCCATCAACAGTTTCCAAAAAGGACATGAGAGCCAAAGAAAAGTCCGCTCTACCAGCTTCATCAGAGTCTGAAGCAAACCGTTGACACAAAGCGGAGCGAGTCATCAGCACAGGAAGCCGACCTACAGAAACACTCGACCAACATCTGCAACATCTTCTCTGTATCATCTAGAAATGTAAACTGGTTTAGGAACTTATTAATGGATAAAAGCAGTTGGTCATTGTGAAACAAGGTGTTCTGAATCACTGATATAATCTCTGCTGCACACTGAATGTCAGGAGCTCCACCGTCAGAATGTTTTTTACTGAAAATAATCTGACTGTTGTGATCAAATAAAACATTATTTCCCTAAAAGCAACAACTGGCCTTTAATCTTTTCATTAAAATCCTGCACCAAACCTTTTTCATATGCCCTAAATTATATTTTATTCCTGCTCATAAAACTGAACCTTAATTTCTTTTTAAGAATAAGTCAACTAATAGATTATCTCCATAATAATGAGATATATTTTAACTCATTAGAAATATTTCTGGTATTTATTGCTTTTAAAATTTCACAGACTTAAGACAATATATTAGACATATTTGTAAAACTAAATAATACAGAAAATATCTCACAAATTCTCATAAATACCGTGGATAGTAAAGGTTAATAAAAAGGTTAGGAAATGTTAAATGATCTTGTAGAATTTGAACTAAATTAGAATAAGGGAGCTGATCTGCCAAGAAAAAAAAAACTACTTAATTCAGGACCTGCTCAAATGATAAGCAAATAATTTTTTTCGATATATTTTTGCAGATGTTTCAAAAACTAAATTTAGTGATTTTTGCGTAATTAATCCAAAATATATTGAAGTTATTTGTCACCATTTCAAGTTCAAATCAAACCCCGACTTGTTTCTGTCCTCAGATCCGTCGTCTCCTCTCGCCTTGGCTCTCGCTGCTAGAGAGCGAGCGCTCACCGCCAGAACGCCGAGTCCCGAGCCTCGAATCAAACACACCTCAGCCTCCACCACACCTGTTCCCACTCCAGCAGCCAGTCCTGAGACCAGACACAAGCGCACCCCCTTCACCACCCCACAGAGCAGCCCTGAGCCGCGATCCAAGCGCACCTCTCCCCAGACGAGCCCCGAGCAGCGAACTAAACATACAACGCCACAAACCAGCCCTGAGCTGAGGCACAAACGCATCACGCCGCCGCTGTTCCCCGAGGGGCAGGTGGAACGCCCAGAGACCGAAGGGGGAGTAACATCGCCCGCTGCCCCCTCCCCTGAAAGATGGAGGCCCTCCCCTCTACCAGCGCTGGCCAATGACAGCCACTCGGCTCTGATTGACAGACGGAGAAGTCTCACGGTGGGCAGCTCAGAGGAGGAGGGCGGGGCCTACACCGTGACCCTCCCTCCTGCCCTGCTGTCATCCAGCGATGAGGAGACCAGAGAGGAGCTGCGTAGGATTGGTCTAGTGACTCCTCCCCCCGCCTTCGCCAGCCCCCCTGCCGCCCCAGCCCCGTCCTCCTTATCCCTGTTGCCTCGACGAGGAGGAGAGGGAGGAGGCGAGAGTGCTCCAGAGTCCCTTGGGAAACGAGGAGATGAGGAGGAAGGAGGTGAAGAGCGTCACCATGACAGCTCCTTGTCCCCTAGCTCCCTCCCTCCCTCCATCACCCTGGCCTCCCCTCCTGCTCCCACATCGCCATCCTCCCCCCCTGCCACTCACCCCTCTCCCTCATCTGCTGCCACCTCCCCGTCGGCTCTGAAACCCCGCCTCCGGTCGCCGATTGGTCGGGGTCGCTCTGCGTTGCGCGACCCGCTGCTGAAGCAGTCCTCAGACAGCGAGCTCCTCCCCTCTGTCGCCTCCTCCTCCTCCCCCTCCTCCCCACTATGCTCCTCACCCACCAGCGGCAGCAGCCGGCAGCCGCGCTACCTGTTCCAGAGGAGGTCAAAGCTGTGGGGGGGCGGAGACGACGAGCGTCGTGGGGCGAGTCCAGAGGACGGCGGGGGCCGCCCAGCAGCCCTGGGAGGTCAGAGCTCTGGGTCTGCGGTGGACCTGACGACCCGCTCAGCGTCCGCCCTGGAGCTGAGTGGCCGGGCCGGGTCGGGCCTGGATCTGGCTAATCGGCTCCAGCTGCTCAACAAAGACAGCCACTCCCTGGGAGAGGAACCGAGTCCGCTGGACCCGGGCCGGAGGTCACCTGTAGGGGGCGCCAGGTACGTTAAACTGGACGTTTTCCTGATGTGCGATCCTGTGTTTAGAGTAAACAGCATTTTTAAAAAGCGATGAATGGTTTTAACTGGACTTTAAGAAAAAAACATTTTACATCAACAATAAGCTGCTGTAGATTCTCAGTCATCCAGGACTCGATAAAATCAATCAGTAAACGCAGCAATAACCCTAACCCTTTCAGAGGAAACTTCACTTTTCCTCTGACTAATCTATCAGCCAGGCCATCAATAAACTAGCTAGCTGTTGGGACTGCATCATTTCTGAAGCCAAACACTGAGCTCAGTACTAAACGTGTCTCACAAACAGACATTTATTTATCCAAAGCAGTAGATACGGAAAGCCAGAAGTGCCACAAATTTAATGCATGACAATTTGGGATTATTACTACTGGTAAAAGTGAAAATTTCAATGTGACATTAAATGAATGAAACTTTATAATACAGGAATATTAAATATTTATTTAAATTTGTTAATAATTTCAATAAATCCTCCACCCTTCCAGACATGCCTATCTCCAAGCATGTCTTTATTACTTCCGTTTCCAAAAAGACCTATCATTTTCGAGACTAAAAAAAAACAACTTTGAGTCATGTTTGAACTGATGCAGCATGGGCTGGGTTTTACTCAATTGTTTGTATATTCAAACACTAAATCATGTTAGCTTTCAAATGATGTATCACAAATGTTATTTGGGCTTACAGTTCCTAAGTTATTTGCTTTTCCATTTGGGTATGATAAATAGGCGAGGATCACTTCAAATTAGGGGGGTTTAAGAGGTTAAAGTGTTTATGACACAATATTGATATCATGTAAATTTCCATTCAAATCATGCAGCAGAACATACCAGGAGGCTCTGAGTTACAAAGTTTCTACATTTAGTAGATCCACAGCAGCACTCTGTGTGTGCAGGTCCGTGTGGCGACGTCAGAGGGAGAACACCTTTAGAGCTAGCTCAATGTTGAACCACCAGCTAGTTCAAGCTCTGGAGAAGGTAGTGATGCTTAGGAATATGGAGACATCACACCTTATGGGTCAGAACACTAGTGCATCCTAAAGACAAAACGCCAGACCAAATATGAGCGGAGTGGAGTATGCAGTTCAATGCAGTGAGGAATGCTCTGATGGAGGAATGCTCTGAGTCTTATCCCGAGGTGGAGAAACCAAACAACCTCTCCACAGACTCATGGCCCAACACAGAAGAGCGACCAAGACTCAGCAGTACATCTACACCTTATGGACCAAGGACATTCTTTTGAGGAACACAATGTTCACATTTTGGACAGAGAGGATAGCTGGTTTGAAAGCGACGTGAAGGAAGCCATTTATGTTAAGAAAGAAAAACCTTAAACAGAGGGGGTGGACTCAGATTTCACCTTTAAAAAACCTATAAATCAGCCATAGAGTTGATTCCTTCCCACCATCATTGCGACCCTCACCCCCTTACAGGGAACAACAACATCTCACCTGTTCAGCCAGGCCAACAATTCCATCTAACGACCCCCATTTCAGAGACATAGACAGGTATCAGGTATTGCAGGCTAACAAAGAACTCAAATAACCCCGAAACCAAAGGGGCGGACCCGTTCATCCGGCTCAATTTGCATGTCTTCTAAGCTAAAACAAGGCTTTGCTTTGGTCCAGTCTATAAAGCCTTGAACTCGACGCTATATCTGACATTTTGAATTGAAAAAGCTTCCTGGATGGGAAGCGAAATGTCTTCACACTTGGAAACAAAGTCCAGTGGATTGTTTTTAACTTTTTTGGGAGGATCAGAACCATTCAGAGCCGACCTCTAGACTACAGAGTCAGACTCTGAGCTGGTGGGTGACGGTAATATGACGCAACAGCCTCGTCTAAGCTGCTTCACCCACTTTGAAATTCAGCTGCAGATCCTTAGCAAATAGAGCTGTGCGATAAACCGGATTTTTACGTTATTCACTACGATAATTGGCGACAATTTTCCAATGTGGGTAACGAAATAAACTTAATTCTTCCATTTTTCCTGTGTACGCTGGTGGCTGGTAGTTCCTTCCTCTTTAAGACGCGGCAGCAGGTGTGGAATCACCTGACTCCATCCGTAAACAAAGAGAATGGCGGATGAGCCCAGTGAAGAAGCATCTAACACAGCTGTAAATGAAATTACATCAGTTAAACCTAGAGCCTAGAGAGAGCAGAGATGAAGCTGAGCGTGCAGAGAAGAAGCCAAGAGCGCTTTGTCAGAGTTGAGCACTGGGCACACAGTTTTGGAGTGAAGGTGTGCAGGTTTAAACGATGCACTTTGTCCTCACTGCACGCTCAGTTCGGTGGCACTACAATTACACCATAGATGTTGAGCAGAAGGACATGAAATGTAAAGTTTGTCTGAAAACTGTCGGGACCCAAACTAACACATCCAACCTCTCCCACCACCTACAGCTCAGCCATGCTGCTGAGTTCAAAGATGTGAAAAAAGTTCCTTTACCTTTGTGCAAAAATCTTTGTTCAATGAGACATTGTTGAATGTTTAACTCTGAATGGGTACAAGCCTTTAATATTTAAATGAAAGTAATATTTAATGTGATGTATTCCATAAATAAATTATAAATAGATCAGTTGCATTTCCTGCATTTTATTTCTGATAGAGGAGCCGGAGCATTTCTCATGCTTTTATCTTTATTAAGGTAAAACTGCCCTATTTATCGTGATATTGATATGAGGTCATATCCTCCAGCCCTATTAGGAAACATAAATAAGCCAAGGCCAACCTTGTAGGATTAGCTGTAATCTAATCCATGAAAACTGTCCATAACAAAACCACCATTCCAGCTCTTAGTTGTTCTCCTGCATCTTGTTTTCTCCCTCAGCATTATTTTAATAAAAACTATTTTATCAGGTCCCTTTAAATTATTACATTTATCCTCAGTACTAACGTTTTGGTCTACAAAACATACTAGAAAATGTCAATATCGTCTCAACACTTCAAATGCATATTTCTTTCCTAATGGCCCTGTATTAAAGATGAGTTTATTTTACTCTCTGCCTTTAATCAGTAATTCTTGTTGTTGGAAAGTCAATCCAACTGGTTAGGATGTGGAGGATGATCTGTGTTTGATGTTTTGCAGGTTGTTCTCCAGCCTTGGCGAACTTCACACCATCTCCCAGCGAGGATATGGCACCAGTTACACGGTCCGACCAGGAAGCCGCTACCCCGTCACCCGCAGAAGCCCCTCCCCTTCTCCCTCCCCCTCAGATCGCTCCATGGGGCTGGGCTCCTCCCCTGCGCCTTGCTCAGAACGCCCTGATCTGAGCTCGGGTCGAGGTCTGACCATCCTGAAGTCTTCAAGTCTCAGCCTGCCATCGGAGCCGAAGGAGGTCCGTTTCGTTATGAGAAGCGCCAGTGCACGAACCAGATCCCGCTCTCCTTCGCCTTCGCCCCATGCCTCCCCCTGCCCGTCTCCGGTCCTCAGTGGGCCCCTGTTGGCCCTCCGGCCCTGGAGGCAGCGGCCTCTAAACCTGTGGAATAAATACGATGTGGGCGACTGGTTGGAGAGCATGGGCCTGGCCGAACACCGCCAGCGCTTCCAGGAGCACGAGATCGAAGGCTCCCACCTCCCTGCCCTCACCAAGGAGGACTACGTGGAGCTGGGCGTCACCAGACTGGGACACCGCATCAACATCGAGAGGGCTCTCAGACAGTTGCTGGAGAGCTCCACTTGACCCCTCGCCTCTCACCCATCACCTCTAGGCATCCAGAACTCTGACCTCACGACCCCTGACCTCAGGTCAGACCCCAGCCCATCTCCTTAATTCAATATCTCAGCCATTACAGAATCACGCCCATTTTGTTGACGCCCAGATCTCTGAAATGTTTCGGCTGATCAGCTCTTGGAGAACCAGCTCTGAGTTCAGCTCCTGATGACATCCAAGTCGAAGCCTTGTTGTCACTTATTCACACCAGATATCGGATATAACCAAAGTAACTTAGGAAAAGAAATACAAACAAATAATTCCTTGTTCATGGAATAATGTTTAAACAAGCTTCTTAAATATACTGAACGAAACAAAAGCTTTTTTCTTTTTTTATATAGTCAACTTGTCTTGAAACATTTATGTTATTTGGACCCAGTCTCGTACAAAATTCATCCCAATCTAGAAGGTTTCAGCACCGCTTAGCTTCAATTAGACGAAAACCTGATGATTGGTCAGTCCGATCCAAGAGCTTCACCTTGTTTCTCTGTTTTTATGGTATTATTGGGGGGGGGCTGATGTCTTGACAGAAATTCAACATGGGTCGTATCTGAACAGACAACACTTTCCCGTTTTTGATGGGCCTGTCTTAAAGTTTCGCAGCAAATCCTAAACAAACATGTTTTCCTTCTGCAGTGGAGTCTTGTGCTGCTAGTGAAAATGGAGGCCAAGGTGTCTCTGAAGCCGGGCGTACACTGTGCGATTTTTTTTCAATCGTTGCATAAAGCTACAGCTCACACTGTACGAAGAAACCCTGAGGTTTCGTTTTACAGTGCGAGTTCACAGCTCACACTGTGCGAATCGACTATCTGATGCGATCTACCTGCTCACACTGTACGTCTAAAAAACACGTCGGATTCAGCTCCGCAGTGAGAGATGGCACTGCTTGGACTCGTCTATGCGGAAGCCAAAAAAGGCACAAGAGGACAATGAAGTTAGAGTGAAACGCGCTGCCTCGGCAATTTGTGCTGAAAGCCCTAAAAAGAAAAGTCGATGACGTATTTAGACAAAGACATGGCTGAACAAACGAGGCTACTACGGTATGTCAATTTCCATTTCACTCGCACCCCCGCCATGCTACTGTGTTCTCATCTGAGCGGAAGAAGAAGTAACCTTGTTCGCAGACTGAGCGATTTTCCCACGACGGCCGACTGAATTTCAAATATGTTTGATTTTTTCCCGACCTTCTGATTCCTGATCGTGAGGTGGTGGTGAGAGGCTGTTCACACCTCTTACCCCCGTACACTACACAACGCACCATCAGGCTGAAAGTCATCCTGATCGCAAAATTCTCACACGACTGGAAAGTCGGCCAGAAAAGGGCAAAAAATTGTACAGTTTAAGCCCGGCTTCAGGCAACTCTGTTAAATCTCAGCTTTTCTAACAGAAAAGAGCACCTGGACAGACATGTACGTCTGTAATCAAATCCATGTGTGTGTTTCTCAACATTAAGGTTGGAAAAAGTCTTAAAGCTCTTTCCTTGAAAGCTAATGAGAAGTAAAATCATTTTAGAAGCCACCATTTGGGATTAAACTGATATTTGCACTGATAGAAAGCTAGATTTCTTTATCATACTAACAGAGTTCAGCCGTTTTCTTTGCTTTCTGCACTTTTCTCACTTATGTGTTAATTACAAAGATAATTCATAAATACACCCTTCTGATTTCTTGTATATGTAGATAACTTTGGTTGTTATGAACATCTGGTGTGAATTTACTGACACGAGCCCATAATTGGCAAGAAAACGTTCAAAATTTTCATTTGCTGTTTATAAAATTTGTAAAACTAGTAAATATTGGATTAAGAACTTGAGGAAATCTGGTCTACTTTCCCAACGCTGAACTAAACTTCAGATTTTAATCATAACTAATCTTAAATTTTGTGTGTCATTTTGTATGAGATAAAAGAAATGGATGTAGTAAAATATACTTTGGAACTCAATTCTTAGATAAATTCAGTCCATTAGGGCAAATTTGACTGACGTGAAATAAACAAATATCTCTAAAGTCACAAAGAACATCAAAACATTTTGTCGCCGAAAAACTGCCAAAGGTCTCAGTCGAAGGAAAATAATCCAAACCAACAAAATGTAGATGTTAACTTATTTCCATTAAAAGATAACAATACAAGAAATGGGCTGATGCTGCGTTTTTAATGCCGATGTAAATACCAATTATCGGACATCAGTCTAACTAATCCCCGATGTTTTGAAGGTGATATTTCTTTCTCTTGACAATGTTACAAAGAACACAAAACTATCAACAAAAAAACACAAACGATTACAGGACAGCAGATGGAGGAAGCAGCGATGCATGCGCTTCATGTTATCTAAAGGCATGTCTGCTGCGTGCATTAATGATGACGCAATACAAGGAAAAAATGCTAATAAATGCTAATACAATATTCCACTCTCCTTTAAGGTCGGCATCGCAGCACTAGGCAACCATGACCAGCCTGATTTGATAGTCTTGAGCAGTGAGAAAAACAAAAATACTGAGATAAAAGCGATCAGAGCAGATTCTTGCCATTTTTGATGGCCGACCTTTACAGACGATATTTTTCAGATGCTCTCCCTAAAATCATGACTTAACTTCTCCGTTAGCCGTCGTTTCTGTTCTTTGATCTTTGGGATGTAGAGAAAACCGTGTTTAACTGAACTGACAGAGTTACAACATTTCAACCAGCATAAAATAACCACAAGCTATAAATAATAAACACTCATTGGTAGTCAAACTTATTCGGCCGTTTTTAAAGAGATTGGGCATGCAGTGAAGCACACTGGAGCTAATTTAATTAATTTTTGTTAATAAATAAAAGCTTTTAATGGATCTGGAGTCTAATAAAGGGACTTCTGAGGAGAATAAACATTTTTTTCTAAAGAGCTGCGATGGTTCATATGTTGGCAGGAGCTGGACTCAGAGCTGTGCTGCTTCTCACAAGAAGAAGCGACGATCAATGAGACGGGTTCTCCCTCCATGCCGGGTTTATCTGGATGATCCGGGACCTTCGAGGACTTTTTGAAAAACTGGACACTCATATTTTTGTCCTTTCCTGAAAGCTGTTGTGATTTCTTTTACCCCCCCTTCAACATATCAAAGCTTTTGTGTTCCTTCAGACATGAGTTTATATGTTAATGGAGATCATTTAGAATTAATCAATAAGTAATAATAATAATACTAGCGTGGTGGTGATGCCGTACAGAGCTTTTAGTCGTCTGGAAACAGATTTTTAGTTATGATTTGACAATGAGTTGAATTTCCAGCAGAAGTTTTGGAGTTCATAATGATTTGTCGATGAGTGTGACTTTGTGCCGACGTGTTGGTGTGTTTCAGGGAGAGCTGCTGCAGAGCTCCGACCTCTCTGGTTTCTAACCTGCTTACTGAGGGCTTACTGTACACGGTGCTATCTGTTTAAAGCCATCTGTACAGACTATACCTTCCTCCTCCTCTTCATGCATCTTCCTCACTCCGATTCCAGATCAATCAGCCGGAAACCAATCGATTAAAACGAGGCCATATCGCCCTGACGACGGTGTCACAGGAACAGGCCATAAAAGGAGTTTCCTCCCCTGCCATATAAGGGATGATGCTTCCTGCCATAAGTGGAGTTGCCTTCAAATATAAAAATCGTAATAAAAGGAGCCCCGTTTACTCATGTTTATAAGCTTTTTATAAAAACAAACAGGGAAGATTTTTGTGCCAAAAGAGGAAATTATGACTAGAATTCAGCTAAAGAAGCTGTTAGTGATCTAGAAAACCAGATCTGCTTTTAAGACCCGCATATTTAAATGTTTATGATGCAGTAAAGTTAGAGGCAGATTCATATATTTTATAGGATTTAAACCCCTCATTAAAGAGGTGCTGCCTCTGCATGAACAAACTGAACCACATTTCTACTATTATACAGAATAAAAGCTAAATAAATTATACTGTGTATATAAATAAATATAACTATGAATATAAAGCATCTTATTTTAGCGCAAAGGAGCAAATTTCAGTAAAAGAAAAACTACAGTCCTGCAGTGAGTTCGGATCCAGTCTAGTTTTTTAAAAATATTTTCCTTCCAAACATCCAGATTTTCCTCTCGTCTTTCTGCATGAACTCGATCAACGGTTCAAACTTTGAGAAAAACATCTGAGCTGCTGTAATAAAGCTAAATTAATTACTGTTCCTGTTGTATAGATAACTAACGCTTGTTGCACTTTATGGCCAAACCTAATAAAGTCGTAAAGAAGCAATTTAAAGAAGCAGAAGCTCTTTATAAAACGCTCCTTTTCTACCAAACTGGTCCCAGTAATGGTTCCCGGACTGGGGCGGACATATTTTATGAAATATTTAGTCTGTTTTTCGTATAAAAACCACTAAATAAAATGTTTTGGTTGGGAAAAAATAAATCCACTCAAGTTTTTTTTAGAACTCAATTTAAATTTAAAACCTTCAATATTATGAATATTACTACTTTAAGTAATTCTATTAAACCTAATAACTTAAGCAAATTAAAAATAAGGTTATTAATTTGAATTGGTGTTTCTCAGTATGAAAATAACATGACTTCACATCCATATTTATCATTTGATGATTTCTGATCCATTTTAATTAATCCGAAATGAAAATATTGATCCACGTTTTCATCTTTAGAACAAACCTAGTGGTTATCATCGTATCTCCATCCAAACAAATGATACAGTATTGTATCATGATAGAGATGGTGATTTACAGCCCAAAGCACCATTACCCAGGTTAGATAACCATAACTCAGCTCAACTGCTGGGTACGTTTGGGCCTGTTTCAATCCAAAACTGCTAATAATGACAGAAAGGGATTTTAATCTGGTGAACATTTAAATTTATAATAGTAAAATGGTTTGAGGGCTAATTTATTTGCTTTGTTAAGCTTTGTTGTTTATTCAATATAATTACAGCTAAATGCTACAAGAGTAATCACTAAAATACAAAAAACTGGATTAGAGCAAAATTTAAAGCATATATTAAAGAAGTGGGCTATATCTGAACATCCGCCCAAATCACTGTATATTGGTTACGTCATTTTAAATGAGTGTCCGAACGTCTAGTAGATAAAAAAAGTAGTGGATTTGAAATTTCAATGCACCTTGAAAAGCAGTGGTCATCCATGGTCACTAGACTAGATCTTCCAGATTGCTTTGTGAGAGCTCTCCTCGCAAAGCATCATGGGATTTGTTGTCACAGCGGGCCGCTGTCGGGTAGTGGGCGACAAAAAACAAAGATGGCGCAGGGACGGTGCAGGGAGGCAGAGTCATGTGACCAACGGGGAACGAAAAGTAGTGATCATCTGTCCAAATGGTCAGTTAACCAACCATCACTATAAAGTCCATTATATAGTCCCCACTCTATATAGTAATAGAGGGATTTAGGGGTTAGGGTGGATGTTCAGGCACAGCTGAAATGTGGGAACTGAAGGGAATCTGAAGCCACCAACATTTTTTTTCTTTCACAAACTCAAAAGAAAATTCCAGATTTTTCCAGACAGAACCGTGTAAATCCAGAGGAACTGATTGTTGGAAGCTAAAGACAGACGGCAGACGTTGACTTTATGCTTTCTATCATTCGTCTCTGCAATAAAACGGTAGAAATTTAAGCAAGAACTGAATCCATTCCAGTCTAGTTCTTCTCCATCCAGGCCGATCAGATCGTCACTCTAGTCTGAATCAGAACTGGAACCAGTTTGGCAGAACAACAGCTCCTCTGCTTCCTGTAACACACATCTGAATATTTGAAATGAAAACAGATGTTCGACCCCCCACCACCACACATCACATAATTACCCCCCCAAGCACAATCAATCGCTCAGTGCCTGTTACCATGACAACACATCTCAGTCCTTCTAAGCCTGCTGAGCTACAATCATGATCCCAAAGTTGTAAAAAAATATTTTCTAGGCGTAGATTCGTTAGATCAGAGTAAATCAGCTGTAGAATCTGTTTGATCTGCAGTGGATTAAAGACGGGACAGATCAGCGTTACAGTTCTGGTCCAGAAGGTGTTGAAACATGGAAGCAGCTCGAACCATAGAGGGTCATGAGTTCAGTTCATTTTCTGTTTGTTTGGTTGAAAAGATTCTTTCACATAAAACTGAACCAAGGAGCCACAACATGCAGTTTGTCCCCCCCCCCCCCCCCCCGGGTAGGCCTCTGTTATTCAGAACATGGTGTAATTTAGCTTACATTAAAATGAAATTGTATTTTTATATAGATTAGCACAGAGTGATCCAATTTAATAGTTTATTCCTGTTAGATTTTATAATTAAGCATCGCAGCTAATTAAAAACTGAAAATCTGCTTTTTCAGATAATTAGAACATAAAATAGAAGTAATAAAGATTAGACTGAGAACATCAATAAGAGATCCTACAGCTCCAATATGATCTGCTGGGACCAAGCTACAGATCCTCAGGCAGGAGAAATATTCCTTTCCTTTGTCTTCACACATCAGAAACTATAAATCAGTCTAATCTAATCGTAAACATAAACTAACAGAAAGGAAAAGCTACTAAGATAGTTTTTACACCTTATGGCCATCAGGGGGAGCTGATGAGCTGACTTTTCAATCAGCTCTTTTAGTTACAAGTATTCTATATTATTATTATTATTATAGGTCATGAATAATAGCCAGATAAACTAAAAGCTGTTTATTGCAGAGTGAGACAAATGTTAAAAGAAAATACTGATCCAGCCATACAAAAAATCACTTAAAACCAAAACTGTTGTATATAAAGAGAAAGGCAACTTTGTGACTTCATCTGACCGTGAATCCCTGGAGATGTGAAGAAAACCCAACATCGCTCTCAGCAGGGAGTAAATAAATATTCCTGAAATCGAATGTTTGAAACCTTCAATCTGAACCAAAACCAGCAGGATCTCTTTAAAACAGGAATTGAACCATCTGAGACTCTCAACCTTTATCTCTCATCGTGTTAATCAGTTTTACTTTATGAATCATAAAGTTTCCTGATTTATTCATCTTTACTGCAGTAATCTACCCGGTACATTTACTCTAAGTGCTTCTAGAAGTGGTTTATAAAAGGTTTCATCTGAGATTTTAGTTCTTCACAGCAGGGGGCGCCGCAGAGTGAGGTTAAAGACGGGATAACGATCGGGAAAACAGCCCCCACAGCTTCTTCTGCTTCCCGCTGAGCGGCTGAGATCCCGACTGTCTGAACCTGCGTGTAAATCCTTCCTCCTCTTCCTCTTTTTACAGTATGTCTGTGGTTTCTTCTGGAGTGAGTGGCGTGCGTGTACGTGCAGTTTTCTCTTTTCTAAACTCCGGGGAGCACATGATGAACAAGCCTCTTTGACAGATTGTAATCTTTATAATAAACCGTCATTTATTACAAACTGAGCCCTGGCTTCCTGTGTGATTCTTTCACAATAAAACTCGACTGAATGAGCCTTGAGACTGAAGCTGGTGAGAAAAGACCTGGTACCTCTGAATCACACTTTTTTTCTTTTATTTGTAGTTTAAAGTATTTTGCCTGTAATCAGGGGCAGATTTAACATTAAAATATAGGCAATTGCCTAGGGCTCAAAGCATAAAACTCCTTTTACATGTATGGTTAATAGAACTATTACTTATTTGTAGTGTTGCACTTATATCGATACCTGTATCGGACGGGGCCCCAATCCAGCACTAAAATGGTGGTATCGCTATCGGTGATACCACCGGCCAACAAATAGGGCACCAATGCCATTTTGAGAGTCAAAAGTTTATTCAACTATTGTCACCCATTCCAGGTAGGCAATAAAAAGTTCTACTGGATTCACTTTGTTTTAGTCTTTTTCCTGCTTCACAAAGGTAGGCAGCAATTTGACAAAGCCATGATGGCAATTATTTTACATCCAAGTAGTATACAGTTCTTCATATATACACACACACACACACATCAATTTCAAACAGATGGTATCGATATTGGCCAATACTGCACAGCCAGGTATCGGTATCGGGGCCAAAAAATGGTATCAGTGCACAATACTTATTTCTGCACATTAATTTTGTTTTTGATAACAATCATTTCACTTAAATGCTCTGTTTGGTGACGACCACTGGCGCCTGGCCAACAGAGGGCGCTAAGGTGCAGCCCCACCCACCCAATGACCCTGATTAAGACATAAAATGTATATTTTTTTTTTCCGAATTTTATTTTAAATTAACACTTAAAATATTTTGAAATATAATAATACATATTTTTTAGATGTGCAAGATACATATTTAATCTTTAATGACTAGTAAAGCGTCATTCCATTTTTCATCCGACTGGTGATGTATTTCCACCCTAGGGCGCAAAAATCTTTGCCCATAGACCCTCGTTAAAAGTCGTACATGCGCAGCAGCTCCTCTGTATAAGAGAGCTCGGGCGTAGCTCTGGTGGTGACAGGAAGTGTATTTGCTCACCACCTCCTGCCACAGTGCAGACGTTTTGCGATTGACAGGTCGAGTCTACAGAGTTGGAGACACATTGGAGAGAGAGAGAGAGAAAGAGAGAGAAATGGCGCAAGAAACGACCCTTTCCAGGACCTGGTTTAGCTATAAGTCTTGGCTAACTGCATGTAGCGAGGCTAAAGCTTTATCCTGCTTTCCCTGCCTCCTTCTTCAAATGTCAGGATCTGACCCAGCATGGATAGACAGATAGGACTGATTTAAAGAACTTTTTAGAAAAGCCAAAGAAGAATGAACAATCATATAATATAGTGTACTTTTTCTAGATGTTTGTTAATTTGCATTGGTGCTCTTAAATAAACACATTGTAAGAAAATAAATAGTTTTTATAAATAAAGAAGATATAAAGCTGACAAATAACTTCTCCAATATCGAACTGGTACCTTATTTTTTTTAGGTTTGTGACACAATATTGGACCATGCAAAACACAGATTTATCTTCACAAAGCCTTAGAAGGGCAAGATTTATGTACAAAAACTAAACCTGTACATGAAATTATGTTTTGTTTTTATAAAGTGTTTTTATAATTATTTTTGTTGGTGGCATTCAAATAAATATACTGGTGAGATAAGTAAGTACTGTATATGTTTGATTGGTTTTTGGTATACGTCTATTTTTAATTTATAGCCCCCACTGGAGGAAACTCCACCAGCCGCCACTGGTGACAACAGATAAAAGCAGCGAACTCTGCTCTCCACTGCAAGAAGAAAATTAAAGAGAGAGATCATATCTCTCCTATCCTGGCTTCTCTTCATTGGCTTCCTGTTAAATCCAGAATAGAATTTAAAATCCTCCTTCTCACATATAAAGCCTTAAATGGCCAAGCTCCATCTGATATCAGAGATCTGATTGTTCCTTATGTTCCAAACAGAGCACTTCGCTCTCAATCTGCAGGTTTACTAGTGGTTCCTAGAATTTCTAAAAGTAGAATGGGAGGCAGATCTTTTAGTTGTCAGGCTCCTCTCCTGTGGAACCAACTACCAGTTTTGGTCAGTGAGGCAGACACCCTGTCTACTTTTAAGGCTAGACTTAAAACTTTCCTTTTTGATAAATCTTATAGTTAGAGTGGCTCAGGTTATCCTGAGCTATCTCTATAATTATGCTGCTATAGGTTTAGAATTCTGAAGGACATAGAAACCCTCTTTCATCATTCTGTTTCATTCCATCTCAATTCTAACCTGACAACAGCCAGATGCATGTCTCTCTCCGCCTAGCTCCACTCGCATACATCTGGGAACCCGCTCATTGAAAGTGATTTCCCCAACCGAATTTATGGTCTGTCCAATCAGGACACAGGGCGGGTGTGTCCTGGAGTGGAGAAGCGACCGTGAGATTCCAACAACAATGGCGGCTCGCATTGAGGAAGCAAGCGTTAGCATTGATGCTGCTATTTCTTCTGTGTTGTCCAATCTATCTGATATTGTTTCATTAAAAGAACATCAGAGAACGGCTTTGAAGGCTTTTGTTGGTGGAAACGATGTTTTCGCCCTTCTCCCCAAGTGGCTTATCCAATCATATGCAAGGAGTTTTGATAAGGCCCAGCCTTCAGTAAAGGCAATTCCTATGGCGGGTTCCCAGATGTATGTGAGTGGAGCTACAGTAGGCGGAGCGAGACATGCATCTGGCTGTTGTTAGGTTATCTCAATTCACCCATTCTGTAGAATTTGTTAGTTCAATCTGTAACATTATGCTCACTCTTTTTCTCATAACATTATCTGGTTTGGCTGTGACACCATCCTGGAGAGAAATAAAAGCTGTGATGTGTCTAGATCAGGGGTGCCCAACCTTTTTTAAACCAAGATCTACTTTTGAAGTTGATGGAATGCCGAACCTACCAAGCCAAACACAAGGGCTGGGCAGTATTTGTTTTTTATTTGCACAGGTGGAGAATAAACAGTAAGTTACTTTTCTATTCCTGTAAATGATTACTGTTCCATTAAAAAAGGAGATTACATTCTTTAATATAGGTCTCCAAAAGAACTTTAACAGATTAAGTACCTTTCCATACGTGCTTTCAAACTGCTTTCAAAGGATTACCGTACTTGATTATACTTTCAAACCATGTATTAATTCCATATGTAAGGTTTTTCATTTCTTCTTAAAAAACACCCTTTGTATATTTTACACATCAAGTTTAGCTCCAACGTTTAGGAGGTTTGCACATATTACTCCCCAATGGAGCACATACTGCAACCTTGTCTTAGGATCACATCCTTGTACCCAAAACCCCTGCTGGATCAGATAGTTACTTCCCCCTCCCTATTGAGCAAAGGGTCCCGGCGTTCTTGCGCATTGGTCTTCTAGCTGGTCCACCTTCATAAGTGGTTTTCCACAATGGCGGTCATACAAACAAAACAAGCCAGTAAGGTACCAAACAGGAAATACGCATAGAGTAGAGCGGATGTAGATTTGACCAATCAGAGGCCTTCTGTCTGCGCCACTGTCTGTGGTCACCTACAATTTTGGAGAGGTGCACCAGAGTGTCTGAGGAGGAGGGGACATTTGCGTTCACTGTGACACACGAAGACGACCTGGTTTCTGAGTATAAATCAGCCTTAAAAGGTAACATTGCCTTCCTTTAAAATATTAACCCATAACTTGACTAACCACCATCTGGGTCATTTAACACCAACTGAATTAAATTGAACCCTGATACAGGATCAATCAAATTCG